TATCAGGACGAGTGAATGTAACATACTAAAGGGCTCCCACAAGACTGCGATACTCATATGGATCATCATACAACTCCCCATCAAGTTGACATAATTTAACTTTAGTATCAACATGAGTAGTAACTGGATAAGCATTAGTAAGGTGACAGCGATCAAGAAGACTAGAAATGTACTTGGACTGGCACAGGAAAGACCATCAGGGGTACGTGAAATAGAAATACCAAGAAAATAATGTAAGTCACCCAGATCCGTCATAGCAAATTCCTTGCGTAATTGAGTAATTATAGAATTCAACAGGGATGTAGAAGAAGCGGTGACAAGAATGTCATCAACATAGAGAAGAAAAACAGCAATGTCCCGACTATGTTGGTAAACAAACATAGATTAGTCCAATTTGCAAGATCAAAAACCAGAGATAGTGATGAATGAAGCAAACCTCTGAAACCAAGACCGAGGGGCTTGCTTAAGACCATAGAGAATACGATTGAGTTTGCAAACATAGCCAGGATGCTGATGATGAACAAACCTTGGAGGTTGTTTCATATAAACAGATTCATTCAAGAGACCATTAAGAAAAGCATTCTTCACATCGAGTTGATGAATGGGCCAGTTGCGAGATAGAGCCAAAGACAGGACTGTGTGAATAGTGGTCGGACGAACCACTGGGCTGTAAGTATCACCGACATCAACACCTGGCCACTGAGAGTACCCCTGAGCTACAAGTCTGGCTTTGTAGCGATCCAAAGAACAATATGCCTTTTCTTTGATGCGAAAAACCCATTTGGAGCCAACTACATTGACTCGAGGAGGTTTGAAAACAAGAGTCCAGGTGTTATTCTGAGACAAGGCGGCAATTTCATCATTCATTGCTTGCTGCCACTCATCATGCTTCACAGCATCACAGAATGTAGTAGGTGCCTGCAAAGGAGGGTTAGTAACAGAACTAGCAAGATTAAAAATCACCTTGGGCTTCCGAATACCATCTTGAGTGCGAGTGATCATAGGGTGAGTAATATGGAGAGGGGAAGTATTAGGAAGAGGGGACGGACTCGAAATAGGAGTGATAGAGAGGGAGAAGGAGATGGAGGAGAAGAGATAGTAACTAGTGAATTGAGGGTAGTTGGAGGAGGTACAAGTCGAACACAGGAATTGGAGGAAGAAGGAAAAGACATTGGCCGTAGAGCAGAAGGAACCAGAGACCCAGGCGGATGAAAAAAAGAGGTAGATGAGGACGATGGGGATTCATGAGAAGAAACAGAAGCAAAGGGAAATGTATTCTCATCAAATACAACATGACGAGATGTGATGACTTTATTAGTAGCAAGATCAAGACAACGGTACCCTTTTTGATGTCTCGGATACCCAAGAAAAGGTGAGACGAGGTTCTAACTTGTGTTTAGCAGTATGAGAAAGATTAGGATAACCAGCACAACCGAAAGTGCGTAAATAATCATATAACGGGTGTGTATGGCAAAGGACTTCATAAAAATATTTATGAGATAGGAGCGGTGTAGGAAGTCAGTTAAGAAGATAGGTAACAGTATTGATAGCTTTAACCCAAGAAAGAAGGGGACATAGATGTTTGAAAGAGTAAGGTACGAATCATATTAACAATGGTACGATTAAGGCGTTTGACCTTACCATTTTGCTGAGAATAAGCGGTGGTACTCAAAGCGAACATGAATGCCATGAGTTTTAAAGAAATTCCGGAACAAGTGATTCTCATATTCTCCACCTTGATCACATTGGAAACAACAAATAAAGGCATTGAATTGATTTTTGATATATGTAAAAGATTCAGAAAAACAAGAGAAGACATCATATTTATATCTGAAAGGAAAAACCGAACAATAATTAGTGAAATCATCCAAGAATGTCACAAAATACTTGTAGCCAGTAGGAGAGGTAACAGGAGAAAATCAAACATCAGAATGTATGAGTTCAAACGGAAAAGTAGTATGAGATGTAGAAATATCAAAGGGTAAACGCACATACTTCCCAAGTTGACAGGCATGACAAAAGCCTAACTGAGAACTAGAGTTGAAACTAGAAATAAGAGATCTAGTAATTAATTTATTTAGGACACAAGAGCCAGGATGACCTAAATGACGATGCCAAAAAAGAGGACTTGTGTGAAGAGCTGTCAGAGCTGGCACCAAAGATGGAAGAGAACAAGGACCAAGGGGATAGAGAGGGCCAGGACTATAACACCGAAGAAGTTGGGTCTTTATTTTGAGATCCTTAACACATAAACCAAAATGATCAAATTCCACAGAGCAATTATTATCAGTGGTGAACTTACGAACAGAAATCAAATTTTTAGTAAGTGAAGGAACATGTAGCACATTAGGGAGAGCAAACGAACGATCTTTAGAAGAAATAGTAGAGGAACCAAAGGATTTAATATCTTGCATAGCACCATTACCAACACATACTTTGTCCAAACCAGTATAAGGTAAAGAAGTAATAAGATTACCAGAATCATTAGTCATGATAGCACCAGCTGCAGAATAACATTACGGGTATATATAGTACAATAGTATATATACAATTATAATAATGCCCTAATTATATACACTAACACCAGTTGTAATTAACAATGACGAATTTCAATCCTTTTATTAACTAATACACGCTTTCATACTTTGATCCAAATGTCCATATTTGGTGTTAATTACTTTTGATGTTACTATTGAGTGCATTCTTCCCTCTTTCATGTTTGAGCATGCTAATTAACGTTCATTTTCTATTGATCAAGTGGAATTACTACATAACGTAAATAGTTAACTCAGATTATAAGCTTTGTCAGCCGAAGACTTTTATACGGCGGCTAGTGGGTTTGTGTTGGGAGAATGTTCGTTATTGTTATTCTATCATCCCATACATAAAATAATACTCTCCGGTAGTAATTGTAAGATACAAATTAGCGTTAAATTTAAATTAATTTTGTGCCTTATTAATGGAATAGAATTGGAGAGAGTAAAAAATTTTGCTCCCCGGTCATTTAGTTTGTTTTATAATCAAAAATTTCAAAATCAAATTCATTTTCTGATTTATTTTTTTTACTATTCCACGATCCAGTAAAATTGCGTATTTGCGTATTAACAAGTGAGGACTAATCCTAAAAGATAAAACCTAATCTTGATCAGGACATATACAGTACTCCTCAAAACGATCGTCCCCTTGGGCTTTGTATTTTAGTGCAATTTTTATGAAAATAAAAATTCAAATTAAGAAGTCATTTTAAGACAGAAGGAATATAATTGAGATATTAATATTAAAAATATTCTGACAAGTTTAAGTAGTACTAAATAAATTTTTTCTAATCTTAATGCATTGAACAGAGATATCAAATGGGAGATAAAGGGAAAAAAAAAACAAAAAAGAAAAAAGAGGAGATATCAAATGGTCGACTTAAATGATGGCTACCATACTACGCATTCAGAGAGAAAAATTATTGGGTACAACTGTTGTATCCTGGTTTTTAGTGCAGCAATTACTAACACTCCCCTATTTTGGTGGTATAACTTTCGTAGAAATTATCTCTCCTCCTAAAATTATTATTTTTATCCCTATTATTGTGTCTGGCTGCATAATCTTACGTGATACAGCAGTTGCACTCAATAATTTCTCCTTCTATGTGGTACAACAGTTGCATCCAATAATTTCTCCTTTAGAAAAAGGTCGGGAGGGAGAGAAAATATTCCTGGGGAGACTTGAACGTCTAGTTAACCTCTGTTCCAAGAAAGTCGTAGAAAAGAACTTCTAATTGTCCCAAATATATAGGAATACTAATAATTAGTTGACTTGCCATTAATTGCAGTACACCTAGTCTTTTCCTGACTTCACAGGAACACTCTTTTCCTTATTTCATATGATTGTTTAGATCTTTTCTCTTTTTAAAACAGCATTGACTACCTTTTTAAAAATAAAAAATAAGAGAGAATGGGTCTTTTCATCCCAATGTTTGAGCCATACCATCTAAAACATTCCAAAGTTTAAAAGCATGCCATGTTCATCCCAACTTTTTCAAAAATATGTAATATTAGGACATTTGTTAATTTTTTCAAGTTATTAACGGCGATATTTCATTCAGTTTCTTTTCTCCCATTTTTTTTTAGTCAAAAAAGTTTCATGCTTGCGTTTGGTAAATTTGGTCAATACCAAGCAAAAAAGTTGCATGCCCCTGCATCAATTACAATTCCAATTTTTATAATGATGTTACATATTTAAAAAAATAAATGAAATAGGACTTACTTTCTAATTAAGATACACACAAAACCTCTCATGATTGTTATCAATTTAGAAGGTGAATTTTGAACTTTTTTTTTCTTTTTCTAAGCAAGGAAAGAATGGATGATGTGAAGACCAAATTAGGTTTAGCTATTTTCTTATAAGGTAAGAGTTAATGGAACGTGTTAAATGATTAAAAGAATTGGGGAGGAGAAACAGAATAAAGTACCACTACTAATTAATTAACTAGAGTTAAAAATTTAACGAATATCCTAATATAACATGTTTTTAAAAAATTTGGGATGTAAATGGCATTTTCTTAAACTTTGAGATGTTTTGAATGGTATGCCCCAAACTTTGGAATGAAAAGACTCATTTTCCCTTTTATTTTTTATCTCATGAAGTTCGAGCCAATTTCGTTATAGTCACATTTGTTTTCTGTATTTGTAGTATAGTGTCTTGGGACCTCTATACAAAAATAATACTTTATCGATCCAATAATAATAATACTCTCTCCATCCAAGAATGATTGTCTTTGGATTTCTTTTTTTATTTTTAATACTCCTACTCCCCGAAAGATTGATCAATTTGATTTTTTTTAGTACAAAATTGTAATTAAAATATAAATATAAAATTGACAATCATTTTGAAATGGATTTCATTGAACTAAAATAGTGCAAAAAGATATGTTTTTTTGGAACGGAGGAAACATAACCATTGATTGAATAACCATTTAAATTTTACATTCTCATTTCTTTTATGCTATTTCACTCAAGTATCAAGTTGTTTGGGAAATCAAATAAACTATTATCTAAAAGTACTCTACAAACCGATGAAGTCATCCATCTCAAATTTCTTAAGGGAAGGTTCTAGTGAAGTGCGATGGCCTATATATAAAACTTGAAAATGATATTTCTTCCCACATGTTTATTGAATTAAAGTCAACAAATGGAAGGTAAGATGACACTACTTTAAAAAGTTTAAATTGGCCATGAAACTAAGGAAACATTTGTGGTAATTCTTTTCTTCTCTTCCTAAGATGACAAACCAATCCATTATTCATTCCTTTCAATGTTTTATATTTCTTACCTTCATTTTTCCTTTCAACTCATTAGCTTCTTCATCAATTCGTCCTCATTACTTGCAAGAAGGTGCCACTTTATCCGTGGAAGATCATGATTCCAGATTCATCACATCCCCAGATCAGACATTTACTTTCGGGTTTTACGAAATTGGAACCAACGCTTATTCATTAGCCATCTGGTTCACAAATTCAAAGCACAAAACAGTTGTTTGGATGGCAAACAGAGAGAAGCCCGTGAATGGTGTCGGGTCAACGCTTTCCTTGAGGAAGAATGGAGCAATGGTCTTACTAGATGTCGATGGAATGGTTTCATGGCAGACAAACACAACTTCTAGTGACATTGATCGAGCTGAGCTTCTTAATTCAGGCAACCTGGTAATCAAAAACCTCAAAGGTGATATAAAATGGCAGAGCTTTGATTATCCTACAGATACTCTGTTACCTACTCAAATCTTTACCAAGAACAAGAGGTTAGTGTCTGCTTTAAGGAAAGGAGGCTACGAATCCGGTTACTTCTACATGAATTTCGACAGCGACAATGTTTTGAGGTTGGTTTATGATGGCCCTGAGATTTCCAGCATATATTGGCCTAACCCTGATATTGGTATGTACCAGAACGGAAGAACAAACTACAACAGCAGCAGAGTTTCTGTTCTTGATGATAATGGTATGTTCTTGTCAAGTGACGGGCTGAATTTCAAAACTATCGATATGGGTTTCGGGATCAAAAGAAGGATGACATTAGATCATGATGGGAATTTAAGAGTCCACAGCTTGAACAACTCGACCGGCTTGTGGTATGTTTCATGGCAAGCTGTATCAAGGGCGTGTGAAGTCCGGGGATTGTGTGGAAGAAACGGTATTTGCATTTATTCCCCGGAGCCTAAATGTTCATGTCCTCCTGGATTTGTGGTTACTGATCCTAGTGATTGGAACAAGGGTTGCAAGCCCACATTCAATCTTAGCAACTCTATCAATCAGCCATTTAAATTCGTGATGATTTCTATGGTTGATTACTATGGTTTTGATATCAATTCGACAAATTCCGTTTCATTAGAAGTTTGCCAAAAAATTTGCCTAGAGGATCCAAATTGCCAAGCAGTTAACTACAGGTTGACAGGGACTGGGGTTTGTTACACGAAAAGGGCGCTTTTCAATGGCTACCGGGCTGAAGATTCAACTATATTCCTCAAAGTCCCTCGAAATCTGTCAATCTCAGAGCCGGTAAAACTCCACGGCTCTAGTGCAAGATGTGAATCTAATACAAGAGAAACAGTGGAAGGTTACTCGTCTATGTACATTACAGGCTCAGGGACTAGAAAGGTGATGTGGATCTACCTCTACTCATTTTGTTTCTCTCTTTTGGGTATTGAATTCGTGTTTGTTCTTCTGGGTTGGTTTTTCTTGTTTCGGAAAAGCGATTTATCAGCTACAGTTGAGGCAGGGTATCAGATGATTGCCAGTCAATTTAGTAGATTTAGCTATAATGGACTCAAGAAGGCAACCAATAATTTCAAGGAAGAGCTTGGGAGAGGAGGGTCGGGTATTGTTTACAAGGGTACATTGGCAAATGGAAGGATGGTTGGGGTGAAGAGATTAGGTGATGTTCTTCAGGGTGATGAAAATTTGTGGGCAGAGATGAGCGTTATAGGGAAAATCAATCACATGAATCTTGTCAGAACATGGGGATATTGTTCTGAAAAGAGGCACAAGCTCTTGGTTTATGAATATGTAGAGAACTCTTCCCTGGACAAACATTTGTTCAGCACAAAAGAATTTCTGGGATGGAAACAAAGGTTTGCAGTGGCTTTAGGAACAGCAAAAGGTCTGGCCTACCTTCATGACGAGTGTCTCGAATGGGTCATCCACTGCGACATAAAGCCGGAGAACATACTTCTGGATGGCGATCTTCACCCCAAGATTGCTGATTTTGGTCTTGCTAAGCTCTACCAGAGAGAGGAAAGAGGACCCAGCTCAGAGTTGTCAAGAATTCGAGGAACGAAAGGCTACATGGCACCAGAATGGGCTCTGAACCAACCCATTACAGCAAAAGTTGATGTGTATAGCTACGGAATTGTGATCCTGGAAATGGTCAGCGGAATTAGGCTTTCAAGCTGGACTATTGATGATGGTAATAATCAACCAGAAACGGAGCTGACAAAATTAATGCGGATAATTGAGGAAAAAGAAGAAGAGTCCTGGATAGAAACAGTATTGGATCCAAGATTGAAAAGAAATGTTAGCAAAAAACAAGTTATCACCTTGATCAAGGTTGGCTGTTCTTGTGCGCAGGAGGACAGAAACAAGCGGCCTAGAATGGCTTCTGTGGTAGAGACTTTACTTCAATCTGTATCGAGCAATGACGAGGACCCCATACTGTAACGGTATATTTTCCTCTTCGATCTCTCAATTATAGTAAAATTTATGCATTGCATGTATTGGTGACCAACAAGGTTGATCCTCTGTAACAAAATAGATTAGTACCGACGTGAATTATTTGATTGGTAACATTAAAGGCTTCCGTATTTAGTTTCTTACTGTGGTATGCATGTAAACTCAATTGAAACAGTCAAAGCCTTAATCTTTACACCATCAATTTGCTGACAAATGGATGGTAAATACATACAAAAAGGCAACAAAACTAAATTAAGCATGGACCTGAATACTATGGCTCTAATGTTAGAAAACAAAGGGACAAACTTTAGCAAGCTGGCGGGAAGCTTGCTTCCCTTTGCCTCTCCAAGCTAAACTACATCTATCTATTTCAGTATGGCTCTTTGATCATTGTATTATCAGAACAATCATACAATACAATGATTTATATCTAGTTGCTCCTAATTTACATGGGAAGTTGCGTGTCATCTACCGGTGGAGGCGACTCTGGGGGAATGGCATGGGATTTGTTTCCTGGAAAGTCCAAAATCTTTCTTGCAGCTTGAGCGTCAACACGCCCAAATTTCCTAGAAGAAATTTCCAGAGATCCAAGGACAGAAGCCTGCCTTGGTTGTTTTTGCGCTGATGCTACTACATCAGTAAAAATGCCTAATTCCTTCAATCCCTGCACAATGACCTATATGAAGGAATCAAATCGGGTGAATCTTAATGAGATGTTTCAAAATAAACATAAGGAGTAACATAATCACATAAATTCAGTCCTAATGCATCAGATTTATGGAAAAAATCTACCTGGGGAGCATTAATTCGTTCCAGGATTCCTGCGCGTAAAAGTTTAGTATTAACATCTGGATCAGTCCATACAACGTGTTCTTGGTACCTGTTTTAGTGATTGTGTAAAACATTCATTATCCCCAAATTATATGAACTAAAGGATAAATCGAATCTTTGACATGGTTTAAGAAGTTCCAAAATGACAAAATTGATCTTCTGCTTTTCTTATTGTGTTCGCAACTCATACAATGTTCATGGATCCACGAACATTTAATTTGACACACTAGAGATGATCTTTCTCTGGAACAAGGTTAACATGCGAGAAAGAAGACTAATTTTAGAAAATTTATTTATTTTTTTGGGGCAGCTTTCTCAAATTCAAAGTTGCACATTGATTACTATTTACATGACCTTGAAGGATATAGGAATATAGAAGGCCATACATTAACTTACACTTAAAAGGAGAAAAACTTGAGCAATCAGGACAGAAGTTAGAAAGCGTAAAATTCATTCGCCAACAAAATAGTTACCATTGACGCATCTCTTCTTCTGTTGAAGTTGAAGCGATTATAAATGCCTGCATATAGAAATGATGGCAGTGTTAATGGTTGCCAATATCACTTCAAACATCAACATAGAGAAAAAGGAAAACTCTCACGTGCTATTTTCCCATACATAAAGTGATCCCGGCTGAGCTCTAATAGGTTTTATTGGTTAGAAAATCTCTTTAGAATACCGGTAATCACAAGATATCTCAATTTGGGAACTGAAGAAAATGACATAGAGGCAATAATGGTGCCTAGAGCCAAACTCACTGAAGTGAAATGGTCTTATGCTCAATCAGTTAGAGTTACGTTTCAGATTGGGAACTGAAGGAAACTATATTTTGAAGTGATAAGAATAAGGAGATTGACGGCATGGGCAGATGTTCAGTTTAATTTCCTCATGGGGTTAATCGATCTACACACTTTCTTAGTCATCATCCAAAGCTAGCAATCCACATTAGAACCAAGCACTTAATGAACCGGAGGACTACCTTACAAAGTTACAACAACCAACCTATTGCTGCTATCTCCCACAAAGGAATATAGACGGACAATAGATACAATAAATGGTTATATGTGCAGGGTACATAACTACATATCACATAAGTAATCTGGAAAATGAGAAAGTTTGAACTGTCATCATTTCTTGTAAAACTTACATCTCTGTCAAAATCTAACATGAAGCATCTCTTGACATCTTCTCTCGTGGGCTTACAACCACAACGATCACGCCTAGAAGTCAAATCTGAAAACTTTGTATATGTATAGTGTAGAACAGCAGCCTCTTCAAACTTTGTCTCACTGTATAATGAAAGATATATTTCATCAAACATAAGTTCTGATTTTTCACCACAGGCAAACACCGCAACTATCATATAATGTGGTTAAACAAATAATTTTATTCTAGTTTCTTATCTCAGATTGACATAAACATGAAATATATGATGGCACATCAAACTCCGCAGATAGTCCATGTTATTCCCGAGCCACTTGACTATTATTGAGCAATCCATTTTCATAAAGAGTTCACTTTCGGAAAATGTTATCTATCCATCTAGATTTATTACTTAACATACTAATGAAAGATAGAAAACTATGGCCAGTTTGTTGTCCTGATCTGGAGAAATAATGGTGATGGTGAATGTAGCTTCCCACAACCTGGCTCGCATTCCAAGATAGCCCATTTTATACCAAGAACATCATATAACAGGAGGAAACCAGTTGCAATGAAGTTTAAATGAGAAAATGAACATTATGATAAAAGGATACCATACTTGGGTTCCTTCATGTAGTTGTACCATCTGTGAGCACCATTGGGGCGAAGATGATCCTTGATACGAGCGGCTGATTTCCCATTTCCATAAGTCAAAAAGTAGTTTGCATTACCCCTTGTTGCTTCCTTGTAATTTGCAAAGTAATTATCTTCCAACAAATGATCGTAATTCTTCTTGAACAATGACACCTATAAACATAAATAAATGGTTCCTGTGTTATAAGCAGCATGCATACAAGTTAAAAGGATAATATGAGACAGCACAAATGCAAACAATTTGATCAAAACCTCTATTTTGTTTTCAACTACTTGAGATAGCCTAAAGAGTCCTATGCGTTTCTAGTCTTATATATGATGTGATAAACAAAATGTTTTGCTTATACCCGATGGTTTCTCTTTGTAAGCCTATCAAAATATTTACAAGAAAAGGTTGGTGAATGGTTAGCACTTTACAAGTAGTATTAAAGTTTTGCATTCTATGATCATCAATTCCAGGTTCTGAAATGTTCCTATAATGTTTCACTGAAGGCCTTAAAATCCAAATGACATCAATGGTGTTAATTACAACTGTAGGAACAACTAATCAATCTAGATTCAAGGGATGCCCACAGAGTTGCCTGAATAATGTGAAGGCTAGTAAATATAGAAAACATTTGAATCTCCAAGCTTCCTCTAAGATTAACACCAAATGCATGATGCAATCTTCCTTTCACAAAAAAATAAGCAACTGATTTTAACATCTACCACCTTAAGAGTTTAGACCAACAACGAAGTTTGTATAAGCACATCTTCAAAAAACTCAGAGTTCAACAGAACCTCATGTTGCTCAAATGAAATGACCATTCCGCTGAAACTTTTGTTGACATAATGACAATAATGAATCACTTTTGTAACAAACAAAGTCGTAAGGAAAGAATCAAGTGTCAACTACAACGAAACTTATGGGAACTGGGGTTTACAACCTGATATGTAAAATCACAATTGAAATACTCGTGCTACTCACAGTACTATATCAAGTTATGTAATTGCTTTTATGTTTCTTTCTTGAGTTATATATAATAGCTATGTGATGAGCAGAAATTGAAACTTATTAAAATGGAATTAAAAGGACCAGTTTGAAGAATTAAGCGGTCCTGTAAATGGCTAAGAGGATTCTCACCTCACTGAAAGGCTCCTGTATATCATCCCTTTCAACGCAACTCTCCTGAAAAAAAAAAGAAAAGAGAAGAATAAAGAAATTTGCTTAAATAGAATCAAACAGTTAATAGTAGAGATCAAAGATGACTTGTGTCTTTTAACAGCTCTTTCTTCTTTTTTGAACAGCTTATATGAATGAAAAGTATGGAAGATAAACAATGCTGTGGAACTAAAAAATCACTCACATAATTTGGAAAAATCACCAAGTCAATATCTCGAGGAACTTCCAACAGCAGCTCCTGAACAGAGTAATGGCGGGTACCAGCTGGATGCATGAGCTCATCCGTATCAAGATGAACAATCCAATCCATACCGGCCTCCTGAACCAATTTAGTTTAAGACATCATCACACAGTAATTCCAAAAAAAAAGAAAGAAAAGAAAATCATTTGCAAATTATGCAGTGAAAGGTAAAATCCATACTCTAGCCATGACAATAGCCATTTCCATGTTGAGGGACTGCTTGACAAATAACTCATAGTTGCAAGGCTTGTAGAAGAAGTTCGCCAACCAAGTTTCATTCCAAACCCGGCTAGACATTATGAAAAATGAGAAAATTTAAGCAACATACAGTATATCATAACGGGAAAGAAAGGAATACTTGTCCATTCAGAATCAGTTGTCAGATGAAACACCAAGAAAACAAAAACCATTACAATTCAAGTTGTTTGCGCATTTAGTTTTTTTGAACTAATACAGCGCTCATGAACCAGTGTCCAACGTGAAAATTGTAAAAGGGTCATATTGACTGTATCAATTTAATACTAGCAAGTCATAACTAATCCCAAGTAGAAAACAATACAAACCTCCTAGCTTGTTGCTCCTCTAATTCTTTAGTCCTGTAGATAACATCTACTCCCTAGACAAAAGACCATGAATGATTTTTTTTCAGGGAAAAAAAAAATTAAAACTCGAGTATTAAAAAGAAAAAAATGAAAGAATGAAGATGAGATCCTTTATACTTACAGGAATGGACTCAAGTATTCTAGCTACATTGTTTGATGCAGCTTTCCCTTCCACAAACAGGAAAAACTGTGCGACTCCAATCACCTTATGATAGAATATCCATGGCAGTATCTGCTCTAAGCCAGCAGATGTGCTGGTAGTAATGCAAATCTGAGAATTAAGGTAAACTCTAATTTTATTCATCTAATTCAGTTCTACAAATCTTGAAAGGAAATAATCATCTTTAGCCCCTTACAGAGTAAAGTGATGACATTCAGATTAAGCTAAACCATGATTTCAAAACATTTCAGCTGAAATTGGACCAAAGTAAAGTTTCTTTCTTGTCTGATTCATCACCTTGAATTTTCAATATTCTCTAAGCATTTATGATCCTCAACTCTAACATTGATGCTTGAATTTATCATAGCACAGATGAAAATCTGAGGTTCCAGTTTCCGAGGAGATCACAGAACTATATCAACATTTTATCGGCAAAAAAGGAAAGATTCCTACTGAGTCCAACAGAAGGAAATCAACTTATTTATCAATTTTCAATACCCCACAGTCAAATGGTCGTACATATTCATAGTTCACATGCACGCATAATGACTTGTACGTAAACATGTTCATGCATCCATATTCCATAGATTCAAAGCAAAAAAAACCACCTAAAAGAAAACAAATAACCCTCGTATTGTTGCCGGAATTTCCATTTTCAATTCGTCGTATGACAAAAGAAAGGGGGTAAAAAGCCAATATACCTTAACCCCATAATCGGATCCGGATCCCGGGCCAAAGCTGAAATTCCAGTCCCTGTAATACGGAAACGACGGCACACTACTCCGGCCCAGAATATCACCACAATCAACTGAGGAAGAGGAGGATTTAACGGGTCCGGACGGTTCCAAGCCCGGAAAACCAAAAGGGTCGAGTTCGGTCGGGTCTCGACTAGTTGGGTCGGGCAACCCGCCGCGCCATTGAAGAACAAACGCGAATGCGGCCAGAGAGAGCGAGAGGAGCGTGAGTAATAACAAGAGGCCTGAATGTGGTGATGATGGGATAAGATGAGAAGAAGAAGAAGAACCGGGTCTTAGAGCAGAAGTGCTTAGACCCGCCATCTGATTTGAATCATTCGAAGAAACAAAATTTTCCTCGTACTCAAAAAACTTTGTTCTTTCGGCTTGTGAAGTTATGAGTAAATATAATTGAATTACATCATCAATGCTCGTTTAACTTGTCCCTTCTAATAGATGATGATGAAACTGAAAGTCGACAGGAATTTGAGTTTAAACCGCAAGAATGAGCACCTGGAATGGACGCCATTACAGTTTTGAGTATATTAATTAATGATAATTATTATTCTTTCATTGTTTTTCAATTTTCGTTTTTAATTTTTCTGAAGATTTTCATTCATTAACTTCTTCTTTTCTCTTTTAAAGGTTCATTTTTGATTTAGTTTCCTTTGTTTATATACGTCAAAATCTATCTTAATTAATGACACATTCAGAGCTAATTAGTGGTAGAGATTTTTAGAGTTAGTAAAAAAATTTTATAGTCCGTCCGAAAGTGATTCTTTAATTTATCACTCTATTTTTTTTTTCCCACTAATGGTACGTAGCTCTATAGAGTGTAGATGAGACAGTTGATCAGAACTCAGAGGAATTAAAATTGTTCAACAGGGACTAATCACTATCTCTTTTTTTTGGTACAAGGACTAATCGTTATCGTTGATTGTAGGTACCTATATCGTATGGATGATATAACCCCTCGTCACTTTAATCCAATTGATCATCTTTAAACTTTCTTCATTCCCCAATTCTTTTCTCTTCCAGTTCTCTTTTCACTTAATTCTCATGCTCTTCTCCTCTCTTTCTTGTTTGTTATAATTAAAATTAAAATTTCAAAGGTACTCGTTGAGGATGATGGTTGATAGACTAGGATTTGACTCAAGTTGGTCGGGGAAAACAAAGCTTGGAGATAAAAAGGAAAAAAAAGAGAGATTGAATTAATGCGGTGGGAACAAGGAAGACTTAAAGGCCATGTTTGGGTTGTGATCTTGAAACACATTTTCTTTTTGTGGCTCCGACAATTTCCAAACACATGTTTGGACTGCCAATTTTCAAAAATGAATTTGGCCAAAATGTTTTAATTTTTCTGTCCACCAGTTAAAAACCGGTGTAGGCTTGCTGACGTCCAGTCGGCCAAAATTCCGACAACTTTGACTGGGATTTTTGGCCAGCCGTTCGCCGGTCGGTGATGATTCGGGAATGGTGCAGCCACTATACGTCTATACGAACTGCCGACGTTGGTTACTATGGTCAATCGTGGTTGTCAAAATCATGTGTTTTTTTTTTAACAAATGTGTTTTTAAAATTTATTTCAAAATAAATCTCAAAATATATAAAACACACAAATTAAGAAAACAATCCAAATGCAAAACCCACATGTTCATGACCTCTCAACTGGGTCAACTTAGTTTTTTAAAAAAAAAAAAAAAATTTTGAAAGACAATACGTTTATTATAAGATTAAGCCATGAAGAATTAAAAATTACAGGCCAACATTAACGTCGCCTTTGCCATCCTATGGTCATTTTTTACAATAGATCTACTAACTTTAATATCATTATTATTTGGTATAAGCTCTAGTAAATGCATAATATCATTTCCTATGTTCTGAAAATGATGAGGGAATTTTGATCTTTTAGAAATCGATTCCACCAGGATACTGCTATCCGATTGTAGCTGACAAGTAGTCAGGCCCAATTGATGTGCTTCTTTCAGAACATTTATATGCGCCATTGCCTCTGAGTATTCTGCTGAGGAAGAATAAAAACTCGATGAACCATACTTAGCATTCTTTCCGTTGCATCCAGCATCTCCCATGCAGCTGCTCCCAAACTCATATCTTTGCAGAACGCTTCGTCCACCCAAAGTAAAAATTCTGGAGAATTTGAAACTTCTGCCAAAGCTAGAACTCCCGGTTCCACGTTCTTTGCAAGGTTTTCTTTAGCTCGCCATCTAACACAGTTAATAAAGAACTTCCTCTCATTCATAGCCCACTCTAAGATTTGCTAAGGGTGTTGATCTATTCCTTTCCATACTTTTATCATTTTTGGAAATCCAAATTGTCCAAAAGATGAAAAAAGAGGATTGGAGTAGATTCATATATGGAGCCTCTGTAAGCCACTTATCTAGCCATTCACAGAAGGAAGTTGCTGAATTACTACTGAAATCAAATCAAATAATGGAGCTCTTCCAGATGATTTGGGAGATGTGATAATTGAGCAAAAGATGCTTCACCGACTCTTCCTCTGTCTGGCAACGAGGACATAGCACCTCCACAGGTATTCCTCTTTTGTGTAAAGCCAGATTTGTCGGGAGGGCGTTATTAGCTGCCTGCCAAACCATCCACTGTATTTTGGCCGGTAATTTAACTTGCCAAAAGATCTTCCAAGTTTTCTCACTTAAATTGATCATCGTCGACGTTCCAGCATTCGTAGTTAATGAATCTCTATATGTTAATTTTAGTTAATTTATTTCTTATGTTTTCAATTCATGGAATCTCTACATGTTTATAACTAATAAAATAATAAAAATATTGTTCTCTTGTTTTATGAGTCTAATAAAATACTTATTTCATGGTTTTTGTTTCACTGGGAGGTTTTGATAATCAGGTTTTCACATTAGAACTATCAAGCTGAGAATAAACTATAAATTAATAATTTTTTTGAGTACCAAGTTGGGACCGATACAGAAATCAAAAGCAATAAATAAAATAGAAAGATCATAATTTTTCAAAAATTTTTAGAGTAATCTGCCCAAAAGGTCTTTTACATTTGCCAGAAAATTTAATTTAGCTCTTTATATTAAAAACTCACTCATTTTGTCCATTACATTAGTCTTTTTAACTAATTTGGTCCTTTTTATTTTTTTTTTGACCCTTTACATTTGTGGGTTCTTGGGCTGACCAATTCTTGGTCACGTCAACAGGGGCATTTTCATTAACTTATAAATCTCAGATTTTCAAAATACATTTAAAACCAAAAATGCATTAAAATAGTACTAAAGATATTATATTAATTTATAATTTATTATTGAAAAGGAAAAAAAATTTAAAAATCAAATATAATATTATTAAATAATTAAAAAAATAATAAAATCCAAAATAAGATCTTTTTTCCCGGTAGGCCCCATTTGCAATATTTTACCCGTGAGTTATACTGGTTTTATATGTGGGGCTCACATCTAAGTTTTTTCTTTACCCTTATATTCAGTATTTTTTTTTCCTTGAGAAGGAAAAAAATTCTGAATATAAGCGTAAAGAAAAAAAGATGTGGGCCCAACATGAAAAAACAGAATAACTTACGGGTAAAAATATTTTGAATGGGGCCCACAGGTAAAAAATAAAAAAACTAGACTTTGGATTTTTTATTTTTAAATTTTTTAATAATATTATATTTGAATTTTGAATTTTTAAATATTTTTCTTTTTTAATAATAAATTATAAACTAATATAATATTCTTAGTATTATTTTAATACATTTTTGGTTTTTTTATATATTTTGAAAATCTGAAATTTATAAGTTACCAAAAATACCCCTGTTGGCTTGACTAAAAATTTGTCAGCCCGAGAACCCACAAATATAAAGGGTCAAAAAAAATAAAAAGGACTAAATTAGTTGAAAAAACAAATATAATGGACTAAATGAGTGAGTATTTAATGTAAACTAGGCTTGTTTTGTGAAAGACTTAGTTCTTTTCATTCAATTTACTAAAATATATCAGAATTGAATTACAATAAAATAATTCAATAGTTAGAACTAAAATAATACAATCTACTATGTTCCATTGGAGAAGTGAATTTATTGGTTGAAGAAAATTAAAATCTAAATAATTTATTACTTTAATTTGCATAATTTCAAGTATGACTAAGCAATGTTGCATACTTCCAGTACAATGTACAAGTGGTTTTTTTTTTCCTTAATAAAAGGTGAGTGTATATTAGTAAACTAACCACATGGGAAATGCTTATACGAGTATTCCCTATTCACATGGCAATGCTTATATTAGCAAAGTTGCAAGATGAGTTATTCTATTACCAGTATTTCGTTAGTTTAGAGATGTAAAAATGATAATAATAATAAAATTAAACAGACGTAGTTTTAACTTCATATTTGTGGGTGTTGTACGTAATAGTAGCATGCTTCCTTTCTAATGCTTTGACCCTTTTCATTTAGATTATGAGAAATGGTATGCTATCTACAAGAACTATCTTGAAGGAATTGGAACTCTATCTTCTTTTAACAATTTCTGTCCCATTTGCTGTATCAGTTCTTCCTCATAAGGTGGGTGTGTACAAATAGGATTTGATGTTTGAGATGCTTCACAACAAATGCGAGTTTATGTTATTTCCCATGAATCTCAAATAATCACATATAATTTCCCAAATGAAATGAAACAAGTGATTCAATATTTGTAAAACCCCATGTAGTTTTGTGTAAAAGATAGAGATATATATGATATTATGATTTATCAGAGTCCCTAAAAGTTACAGTTGATCCTTATTTTCAATAAAGCAAGCAGTGACAGAAAGGCACGTCACACTCTAAGCTCACATGATTGCAAGATCAGATATGAATTACTACATATAAACTACCAATACAATTAAAAGTTATTCGTATCGCTTTTAAACACAAGCATCTCATTACAAAACATGAGAGCTAGTTGCACATCAAGTGCTCGCGAACCAACCGACATGAGTCAGCAGCATAAGCACTTTTATCAATTATTTCAGATTTTACAAAAACTTTGACTACATGTATCTCTTCATCGGCTAATATTTTCTAGACATAGTTCTGCTCTACATGGAGAAAAAAACTGCAAGAAGACCATGTCTAAAGTAAAACAGCTGTTTGAGCACACTTTCCTAGGACAAACTCTGAAAGGCTTACTCAGACATTTTACTATGTGATTCTATGAATATATCCTTAACTCCAAATAAAAGTACAAGAATACATTTAATCAGTATCAAGACTCAAAACTTACCATGAGTTCTTATGTGGCAGTTTCGGAAATAGCTCATTCTCTTGGTTTTCTTTTTTCTGGTGGATGACCATCTCTTTGCCTCACGTATGCTTGCTCTTATACTTGTATTTTAAGATTATGTCGCTATAAATGTCTGTTGTCAAGCTCTTTTACACATAATGAGTTTGCTTGAGCCACCAAATTCAAAGACATAGATGCTTTGACTGCCTGATAAAATGCCTACTACATAAACATTCATTAGTAAGTCCATATACCACGACAAACCTATCCAGAAAATTATCACAGATTTATAAAGGAACAAGCTTAACATTAGTGGTACATGTCAAATAAAGATCTTTGTTGCAAGGAGCTAAACCAAGGTGTATGTGGTTCCTTCACCTTGTCCTTAGATCCCATTTCTTTCAAAAACTTCAATATACCAAAATCTTAAAAATATTACTGCTTTTCTTGTTAATTCACAAAAAAAAAGAGGAAAAAAAAAGAAGCGCATAACTTTCAAAATAACAATTTCTTAAAACAACAGTTAATGCTACTCTTTCTCTAAACTGTAATTAATTCAATCAGCAATTCATACATGCAATGCATCCTCTTCTTCTAAAAACGGAAACCGTCAGACAAGATTTGGAACATAGATTTCAAACAATCATGCATCTAGACTCAACGGGAAAATAATCGTGCACCCCCAACAATTTCATAATGCAAAGTATGTGTTTGAGAGCAGAAGGGTGGAAGTAGTTAGGGTAGTGAAAGAGAGGGTGCAACAAGTGGTTCATGGATTCATATCGGATAAGTTCAATTTTAGTTTCTAACAATTAGCTATAAAATATTGCTACAAAGAATTTAATGAAACATAAAAAGATAATTTAAATGCAAAAAAAAAAAAATTCATTGTAGTTTAGCCGACCCCTCATTGTTATTTTTTCTGGTTCTAGTGGTACCTTAGTACTTTTAGTTTATGTCGATGATATGCTGCTCACTGGTCCATCTTCTGTTTTGATTCAATCCTTTATTGATGTGTTGTTTTATGAGTTTTTCACGAAGGATTTAGGACCGCTACATCATTTGCTGGGGAAGGAAGTCACTCCTTCCGGCAATGGTCTTTTGCATGCGGTTACCATTCTGGATCGATGTTCCATGCTTGATTGTAAACCCATGCCCACACCATTGGAGTCTAAGTTCACTATTACTCCATCCTCCCTTTTGACGAACTTGGCAGAATATCGAAGCATTGTTGATGCCTTGCAATATTTGACACTCACCTAGCCGGATCTTGCCTACTCTGTCAAATATGTATCTCAATTCATGCATGCTCCTACTTCGCCTCATATGAAGCTCGTTCATCAGATTCTTCACTTTGTGAAAGGAACCGTCAACCTTGGATTACATCTCCGTGCTGCTCCATTTCCTCAACTTAATGCTTTTTCGGATGCCGATTGGGCTGGCTGCCCCATCACTAGAAGATCAACTACTGGTTATTGCACTTTCTTTGGCTCAAACCCTATTTCTTGGTGTGCAAAAAAACAACATACAGTCTCTCGGTCAAGCACCGAAGCAGAATATCATGCAATGGCTCACACCGCGGCTGAACTCACGTGGCTTACATACAGTCTTCAAGATCTCTGTGTCTCGGTCCACTCCACTCCAATAATTTTTTGTGATAATCTCAATGCCATATATCTGACGGTCAATCCTGTTTTTCATGCACGAAGCAAGCACATCGGGTTGGACTTTCATTTTGTTCGGGAAAGGGTTGCTTGTGGACTACTTGTCACCAAACATATCTCCTCGGCACAACAGGTTGCAGATATTTTCACTAAACCTGTCATTAAATCCATGATGCCGTTTTTGAGGGGGGTGTTGAAGATAACCCTCAAACATGTCTGATTCAAAGAGTATGAGGAGTGATAAGGATGCTCAGTTATGGAGTGATAAGGATGATCATACTCAACATGGAATTATGGATGGTAACAATTAGTTTCGGTCATCTCAATCCTTTACAAAATATTTTTATTTCTGTAATTTTTATTTATCAGTAGTTAGGTTATTAGATAATTATAAGCTAGTTTACTAATTATCACAAGTGTGGTAATTCACTTATATATTGTGACCTAAAGTACTGATTGTAATCGAGCCATCAAAACAGAAGTAAAAAAGAAGTTTCCTTTATGAAAAAGGTCTCTGTACCTTTCTCTCTAAATTAGGTTTTTCTTCTATATCTGGTGGACTTGTTGGCTAGTGAGGGAGAAGTAAGGAAGAGTATGAAGTTAACCACTCGCAGATACTCCCTAGATATTCCCTCCGATCCTTAATATAAAATATTTTGATTTGTCATAAGTTTTCTTTGGTATGCATTTTTAACTGTCAAGAAAATCTTAAAAAAATTTCATAATCAAGATAACACAACGAATATGAAAATATGTTTTAAAATTTTTTGGTCAATTACAAATGCGTGATAGATGAAACTTAAGACAAATCAAAATACCTCATATTAAGAACCGGAGGGATTACTATTAACAATTCTTTGTGGATCTCCTTACAATGGACGAGACACCCTTTCAGTATATTCTTCGCCACCAAAAGCCTGCAGGGTTGTGTTTACTTTGATTTCATCCATGTCGAATCGACACATTCTGCTCCTAAATGATCTGACTAATCATTTGGATATGTAGAGTATCGATGCCCTAGGCTGGAGGGGTGCAACCTTAGTTAGCCGTGATTCCAGGCTTATTTCCCTTGTTTGTGAAGATGAAGAGAGAAGTCATATTATTGGGTTGCTGAAAATTGAACTGTTTGAGAGTTACCTTGATGATGCAGCATTTGGGTTTTTAGTATTGTTTGGTGATTAAACAGAACGCATTGTATTTTGAAGTATTTTCATCAAAACCAGGAAATGGTTTCAAGTATTTTCAATAGTAATTGAAAACTGAGTAGAGATTGGTATAAGGAAAAATGACAAGGAAAAATAACAAGAAATGATGTGTCAAAATCTTAATTATGCCCTAATCTTAAATGCATAAATACTGTTTGGAAAGTTTTAAAAATTGATGAGTGAGATCATTTCCTTATAATTTTTCTTTGTCATTTTTTCCTTATACCAATCATTAAATACCCTATTTCTCTTTCATCTTTTTCTGCTCCCCCTTTTGCATAAACAACCAAATATACCTATTCCTATGTATCTCCCTCCAATCAAATCCAAAGATTTCGTTGAAACTGTTCGCTTGGAAATTTCCCGAATTTTCGTCCCATTTTTATGTTTTGTATAATATTCTCTACAGCACTTTTTTGTTACAATCAATGTTACAAAGTTTAATAATTTTGTGTAACTTCTTTATTATTCATACTATTTACATAGAATTTCATGGTTATATATTTTAGAACTAAGGATCATTTTTTTCAGGTTAGGAACTATTTATTTGAATTTTTATTGTATAAAAATTGTATAAAAATCCAATAAAATCTATTAATCTTATTCAAAACATATTATTGATAATAAAAATAAGTTTTCAAAATGAAAACTATCTATAATGAAAATGTAATTCTATGATACATATTAACTCAGATTACAAATCTTGAAGAAATAATTAAAATGTGCACCGGAGAGTGTAAATTAAAAGTGTCAAAGAAGAGTCAGGACTACAAAATGAATGTTTTTGTTTAGATATAGGTGGATAAAAACAGGAGTAAAATATAGAATGTCAAATATACACTAATGCATAGAAATCACCGACAATACCTATTTTAACCCCCCCATAATGATACACTCACTAATGGGTCATATAAATGTAATATCGAGCTCCTAGAATATGGTTGCTAAAGACCCAAAATTATAATCCGTTCTAAAATCAGGATCCTGTTAAATATCCTTAAGGCCAACAATCCATGCTGTAAGAAGCAGCTCTTTAATGGCTTTTAATTAATCAAGCCACAATGAATACCTATAATCTCATTCCATTACTTGAAAATCGTTATTATATTTTGGTTGTCCACTTTGACTATCACTTGGCGAAATATAAATTTCCAAAATACTAACTGCAACACTTCCTATGAATTTTTTTCCATGATAGTACAGTAGACATTATTAATTTATGATGAACTTGCCAAATCAACAACCATTTCTAGGCAGGCACAATGCCACCGGCACTGTCATTCTGGTTTCAATATCGTTACTTGTCTAAGCCAGCAAGCATTAGATCAGTCCGGTCCTATTGTGGTCCCGTGAAATTACCCCAATAGAAACGCAAAAAATTTTTTACAAGCAGTCTTCTTGTTGATCGCTAGCGACGTCAAAACAAAAATAAATAAATAAATAACACCAAGGACCATGCTATATATATATATACTCTCTAATTCTAATTATAAATAGTGTATATGAACTAATTTTAGTGTTAATTTGTGGTTGATAATTAGGATGGGAGAGAATACTAAATTGTGTCGACTAACCAATAACTCAATAACATTCCCCACTAGTCTGAATGAAGCCTTTCATGAGCTAGCACACAGCCGCCTATACTAATTAATCAAGTACTCTTTGCCTAACTTTAATAAATATGGACGCTAATATATGTAGTATTAGAAGTTTATTGAACATAGTACACTGGCTCAAAATTGACAAAATGGAGTCCTAAACTTAAGTACATAACAGCCGAGTACTAAATTGCTGCTTTACACTCTGCTTTATGGAAGTATATAAAACCTCGTAGATTCATTTAAAACTCTTAACTATATATCAAACAAATTTCCTAACCATCAATCCAAAAGATTGGTATGAAATAGACTAGCACATGTTGTTTTCTTGATCGATTGGATTCTCTGCTTACCCTAAATTTCTTCATTAAAAAAAAAAAAAAACAATAAGAGAGAACCAAGTAGCAGCTGATGTTCAAGATCATCATCGGCATTCTAGCTATCAACAAACTTCATCAAATATGATATCAAAACTAACTTTCTTTTTCACTTTTCTCACAGCTACTTTGTTGGTCATCATCTATACTCCATTTGATTACCGTAACAATCCCAGAAAAATTTTCCAATCAGCTACATTTTTTAGGTATTTGAAAAGTGCTAATGGAAGGGAAGAAACGGGTAAAGAAAACTGTGATTTGTTCACCGGTGATTGGATACCGGACCCAAACGGACCTTACTACACCAACGCGACGTGTTATAAAATGCATGATTATCAGAACTGCATGAAACATGGAAGACCCGATTCTGATTACCTGAAATGGCAATGGAAGCCCAACGGCTGCGAGCTGCCAAAATTTGACCCGGACAAGTTCTTAGAATTGGTCAAAGGAAAGTCCGTGGCCTTTGTTGGAGATTCACTTGCCAGGAATCAATTCCAGTCACTGGGCTGCCTCTTGTCCAAAGTAAGAAGTAATATACTCCCTCCGTCCGAAAATTATTGTACAGTTTGCATTTTCAATTTTAGTACAATTTGAGCTAAAAATGAAAATACAAACTAGAAAATAATTTTAGGACAGTAAGAATATATCATTTAAATAGAGTTGTGTTTTGTATTTAGAAGTAACATAGCTAGCTAATGAATTACTATTTTCGCGTTAAATTCTTACCACTAACAAAATCAACATATCCAATTCATATTCTTATGCTTGTGTCACAAACTGTCACCGTTAATCTTTGAAAATTCAAAAAATTGCATACTACTTCCATTTATTTGTATTTACCGTTTTAAGGTTTGCACTACTATTAAGTAAACAATAATTGAGACTTTTAAATATATCGTCTTTTTGCTTCTAATTAAAAGTATTACAGCTTTACAAAAATTGGAGTGATAAAAAAAATTAATAGTTGTCGTTACTATACGTTATTAAAAGTTGAGACTTGAGAGGGATAAGTGTAAAATTGAAAAAATTATATATCATGTTACGTTGGAAAAGAAATGGCGACGGATAGAAAATATCTTGGATTGACCCTAATACAAAAATGGAGGTAGTACTAATTGTCTGTGGTGTGTATTGATAATTTGTGAAGGTTGCCATACCTGAGGATGTATCATTACCCGAGTACCCATGGAGCCAATATTGGGTGTACAAAGATTACAACTTCAACATGACAGTGTACGATGCTGTATTTTTAATACGCTCAGAAAGACAAAACAATCCCGTAAATCTGTACCTGGACGAATTCGACGAATACTGGACATCCACGATCAAAGACCACGACTACATCATCATCTCCGCCGGGCCCTGGTTCGTCTGGACTCGGGCCAAGTACTACGAGAACCGACGCCTTGTTGGCTGCAACGCCTGTAACGAGGAAGGCGTCGCGGATTTAGGAATCTACTACGCCTACCAAAAGGCGTTCCGGACGTCATTGAGGGCCATGAGGGAGTTGGCGAAACCGGGAGCCAAGTTCTTCGTCAGGACGGTTTCGCCGTCCCATTTCGAAGCTGGAAGATGGGATGAAGGCGGAGAGTGTGTTCGGACAAAGCCTTTTAAGCCAGGGGAAACGAGTTTGGAACCGCTTTCTGTCGTAATGCGGGGATTACAGTTGCAGGAACTGAGATTTGCTCAGGAAGAAGGAGGCCGAAACGGGTTGAAGTTCGGAGTAATTGACGTGACGGATGCGATGTTGCTTAGACCTGATGGCCACCCTGATAAATATTGTCGCCGGGCGAATGAAAAGGGCGGAAGCGATTGTCTGCATTGGTGTTTGCCTGGACCGGTGGACGTTTGGAATGATTTTTTGCTCCAGTTACTTATTCGAGATCGGGATCCCCCTCCTCCTGATAAAACTACAAAATGAAATGAAGTTTTACTCACAGGTGTTTGACAATGTTTTTTTTTTTTTTGGTAAATTGTAATTTGTATTACTCACTTCACAAAACTTCTGTACAAACATAATTACAACATCATTATATGCTCATTCCTAATCTCAACAAAAACTGCTTTTCTCTAACTTTTAATTTCTTCTTCCGCAAGCAAAACAAAAGCCTCCACCTCACCTCTTGCTGAATTCTCCTAAAACAGCATTCCACATCACATTTTTCATCCTTGAACTTCCTAGAATTCCTTTCCAACCAGATATGGTATACAATAGCATTTAAGACCGCAAAAAGTACTCTCTTCTGCAATTCCTTATGCCTCCACAGTTTCAGCTTTTCCTTCACATTCAGTCTGTTTGGCAGTCCTGCAATGGTCAGCCAAGCCTTTGCCTTTGCAAGTAGTTCTTTAGAGTAGTCACACTGGAAATATAGATGCTCACCATTCTCCTCATTCATATCACATAGAACACACCTTATATCATCAGTAATTATATTCATCTTCTTTAGCCTCTCACCTGTTAACAGTCTACATTTCCATGCCAGCCAGCTTATAAAGCTGTGTTTTGAAACAGAATATGCACTCCAAACAACTTTTGCTGCATGATCCTTCCTGAATCCACCTCTCAGCCATGTATAGCCACTGCTTGCTGCATAATTCTTACCTCCATTTCCCTGCCACTGATCATTTTTTATTCCAGATTTCACATCCTCTTAACTCTCATCAGTTTTTTCCAGTTTTTTCCAGTGTCCGCTGCTATCATTTGGAGCTTTGCAATCCCATACTTTCTTCCGATTTATATAGTATATGTGCATCCATTTCACCCACAAACTCTCCTTCCTGTTACTGAGATCCCATAATTGCTTGATGATTAGAGCCTTATTCGAAGAGCAAGGTTCCTTTATGTTCAATCCTCCTTCAGCCTTCTTTTTGCATACATCATTCCAAGCTACCAAAGGAAGCTTCCTCCCAGATTCATTTCTCCCCCAAAGGAATTCTCTGCAAACCTTGACTATATCTTGGATCACATTCTGTGGAATTAGAAAGATGCTAGCCCAGTATGAGTCCAGATTCATCAGAACAGCATTGATAAGTAGAGTTCTCCCTGCATAGAATAGATGCTTAGAAGTCCAGCATTTGATCCTTGCAGTTACTTTATCCACTATTTGTTGACATTCTATTTTGCTCCATGCAGTTGGAGAATTGGCATCCCCAAATACTTCATTAGGAAACTCCCCTTCTCAAAGCCAAGTATTGCATGGATCTGTTCAGCAATCTTATCTGAAACACCTGCCACATAAACATTAGATTTATTGAAATTCACCCTAAATCTAGTTGTAGCTGCAAAACTCTCCAGTATCTTCTTCACTCTAGTGACTGTTTGAATCTCAGCACCACACATGATAATCAGATCATATGCAAAACTTAAACAAGTTATTTTCAGTTTCTCACAATTTGGATGAAACTGAAAACCTTCTTTACTAGCCTCTTCCTTGAACATTCTTGTTAAATACTCCATCACCATGACAAAGAGAAGGGGAGACATTGGATCACCTTGTCTCAACCCTCTGTGCTACATCCATAATTGTTTAGTGAGAAGGTTGCTGTTTTGATACATTCCATGACCCATTCTCTCACCTTTGGTGAAAAACCAAATTCCTAGGGCATCTCCCAACAAAGTCCCAATGAATAGAGTCATAGGCCTTCCTTACATCAACTTTCAAAAGGCAACTTGGCTTTACATTTTTCCTGTTATACAGTCTTATCAGTTCTTCTGTTAACAAAATATTATGCAAAATAGATCTCCCTTTCACAAAGGCTCCTTGATTAATATCTATCAGATCAGGAAGAACCATACTTAACCTTTTACAAATCATCTTTGAAATGCATTTGTAGATAGTATTGCAGCAAGCTGTAGGCCTCTATTATGTTGCATCTTTACGCACTGCTACTTTAGGGATCAAGGCTATCAATGTAGTATTTAGTTGCTTCAACATTTTACCAGTTTTAAAGAATTCCAGAACTGCTTCAGACACATCATCTCCAGCAATGGACCACAATTCTTTGTAGACTCCACTGTTGAAGCCTTCAAGTCCTGAACTCTTATTGACATATATGCTGAATATTGCTTCCTTCACATCTGCCTTAGTGAATTCCTTAGTTAAGATAATTTGCTGTTCCACAGACAATTTCATCCCTGTACTAAAGAATTTGCTTTGGATGGTTGATCTGGTCACACTTGTTCCCAATAGATTCTGAAAATAATCCAGAAAATGCTCCTTAACCTTTTCATCATCTTCAATGAGGTTACCATGATTATCAGTATATGATCTGATCTTACTTCTTGCTGTCTTCTTCTTTAAACTTGCATGAAAGTACTTGGTATTAATATCCCCTTCCTGAAACCATTTCTCTTTCAATTTCTGACCATAGAAGCTGATCACTGCTTTCCCATTCAAAACACATTCCTTGGTGATTTCTTTTTCCTCCATTTGGAGTTGTTCATTAAGTGGATCCATCTTTAATGCTTCCTGCACACTTTCCAGCTTCTTCCTCTATCTTAGTTCAACTTCTTCAATATTAAAGAATTTCCTTCTATTTAGTTCTCTCAATGGCCTTTTCAACATTTGCTGCCTTTTGAATACTTTACACTATTTTTTACCAGCAACTTCCTGTCTCCACCCCTGTGACACAATTTCCTTACATTCCTGATCCTGCAACCACATGTTATAAAACTTGAAGGATTTCGTTCTCCCAACATATTCTACTCCCCATCTCACCAGAATAGCATTATGGTGAGAGATACCTGCAGTTAGAACTGTGGTATAAGAATCAGGAAAGGCATTTTCCCAGTCTTCATTCATGAATGTTCTGTCTAACTTAGAAACAATTCTCTTGTCCCCACATTGCTTATTACTCCATGTGAACGAACCACCTTGTACTGGCAATTCCCATAGTTCACGATTTTCCACCATCTGTTTAAATTTATCTGAATCCGTATTCATCTCTTCTCTGCCACCTAACCTCTCATCTTGCTGTAATACACAGTTGAAATCACCAATCATCAGCCAAGCCTTGTTGATCCCTTGGGATAAGTCTTTCAACTTCTCCGATAATATGCATCTCCCTTGAGCTAAATAGTCAGCATACACCACTGTGATGTAAAACTGCCTATTTTATTATAGCCTATCTCATCAAATTGGTCAGTATATAAATTGACTGTCAACTTTGATCACATTTGTCACATACTCATTCTTCCTCCATAACAATAATATCCTCCCCTTATTCTGTGCATCATGATTACTTACATAACAGTAATTATACCATCTCTTCTCCATAAGTTCCTTCACCTTTTCACTCTGTAGTTTTGTTTCCAATACTCCCACAATACCTACATTATTCACAGAGAGGCATTGATCCACTTCCCTGTGTTTCAGGGGACTATTAAGTCCCCTTATATTCCATGATCATGGATACTAGGCCCTGGATCAGGGTTACTAGTTCCTTGAAAACAAATACTACTCATGGATTTCATTTTACCTCCCCCTCTGCCTTTAGTCACCTTAATGCCTTTCTGATTGAGAGTTTGAATACAACCATCTCCTTTTTCAGGTGAGCTTTCCAAGCTTTTGGATACTCCTTTTTTGCTCTTTAGAGATTGTTGGTTTGGAGTAATCTTTTCCTCAGTCTTCTTAAGAATCTGATTCTCTTTATGCTTCCCATCTGATTTTGGTGACCACTTATGTTCCACTGATTTCCTGCATTGCTTTTGATCATGCCCATATCCGCCACAGTTCTTACATTTCAATGGCTTCCACTCATATACAAGTTTTGCTCTTGCAACAGACCAGTTTCATCTTCAAACCACACTTCCTCTTTCAGCTTATCTCTGAATTCAATCTCCACAAGGACTCTTGCATTTTCTACTCTATGCTTGTATTTTGTCATGTCATCCATCTCAATAGGCTTCCCAATCATGCTAGTGAGCTGACAAGCCGTCGTCACACTATTCAAATATTAATTACCTACTTAATACAATTACAAGGAGTAAAGCAGAAAGCAGGGTCGATCCCACAGAGAAGGTTACCAAGTACCAGTTAAAATTATTTCTTATTATTATTTAGATTAACAATTTATCAATTTAAACTAATCTAAACCTAAAACTATCAATTACAATTAATTAAAGATATAAATAAGTAAAAGAAAAACCTAGGGCAAAGGGTTCACCAACCGACTATTCAGTTAAATTCAACCTATAGATATGTGACTTTGGACTTTCATTAATCTCACAACGATTCACCTATTTAAGAACTATTCACTGTCGTGATATAGTTCTCTTACTTAAACTAATCCTATGACTACTGTCGTGACTATAGGATTTAATTAGAGTACATTAAGAACCCTAGAATCTATAGCTGCAAAGACGATATTCCTACTTTCGTGGCCCACTATCTAAGTTTAATATTCCCATGAACTACTGCTAACCTTTTACCGTTGTTCCTTCAGTTAAAAACCTTTTAAGCATGCAAGTGGTGATCAAATACTCACATTGAATAAAAACAAGAATATTAAATATCAACTAATGAAAAAGTCACAATCATGAATTAAATTAAATTAAATAGTACGGCGGCTACATCCAAAATCCTAGATTAAATAATTTAGCTACACATCATCTCAAAAATGAATAAAACAATGAAACCAAGGAGAAGTCGGCCAAAAGTTGAGTCTGAACTTGCTTGCTTCCTCCTCCGATGATGTGCGTGGGTTTGGTGTGGTGAATGGTGGCGTGCTGTTTTGATGTGAGGGTGGTGGAGATCTGTGTGGAGAGTGAAAAAGGAGTGATGGTGATGGGTTGCTGCGTGGGTTTTGGAGTTGGAAGGTGGGTTTTGGAGTTGGGCTGGGGTTTGGGTTTTTTTTTGTTGAAGGGTTTTGTGGTGTGGGGTTGGAGGAAGGCTGAAGGGATGATGGAGGCGTGGAGGTGATGAGGTTGGTGAAGTGGGTGTGGAGTTTGTGGAAGGTTTGGGGGGGGTTTTGGCGTAGGTTGATGATGGTGGTGAGGTGTGGGGGTTTAGTCTCACCAAAAATAAAATCATAATCCTCTTTTTATAGGATTTCCTCAAACCCTATTTCTTCAGGAATAAGAAACCTTATTTCCCAATTAAAATTGGGATTAAAATTTTTGCGATTTCTTCTTCATTAGTTCTTACGATCTTCATTTAGGCCCTTTTTAGTTGCTCTTTCTTTTCAAGTTAGTCCAAAACTTCAACAATTCTTCCATTTGAGTACAAAACCTACAAATAAAGATAAAATCATATAAATAGCATATTTGTACTCAAAATATATTACAAAAAT